TGGGTCCAAAGGGGCTAACCATGAAGATGGTCCTGACTCCAAGCCAGGATATTGGGCCCCTTTGTCCTCTAGTTAGCCCCAAACCCTCAACTCTCAAGTGTTCACGCTATACAAACTAGTAAAACTTCCCCTCCAGCTCCATTCCAGTCTAACACATCTGGCTCCAGCTGAACCTACGGGCCAGTGTTCTCATAGCACAAAACCACCCAGCCCTTTAAAAGGGCCATGTGACCTAAAACCCTTACGTCTGCTTTGTACAGTCACTGTCATGCGACAAACAGACCCCTACCTCCAAGAGAAGGATGGAGATTGGAGTTCCCTCCCTGAAGAACCCACCATAGAATTAATGCCGTCAACACGTTAACAAATAAACAACTAGTCCTGAATCTTGCGTTAAGACTCCTTGGGAGATCACCTAGAATAAAAAGAGTCTACAATCGGGACTTCCCTGGTGGCGCAGTGGTTAAGAATCCACCTACCAATGCAGGGGACACAGGTTCGAGCCCTGGTCCGGGAAGATCCCACCTGCCACAGAGCAACTAAGCCCGTGCGCCACAACTACCTGAGCCTGAGCTCTACAGCCTGCAAGCCACAACTACTGAGCCCGCATGCCACAAGTACTGAAGCCCGCACGCCTAGAGCCCATGCTCCACCGCAGTGAGAAGCTGGCTCACCGCAACAAAGAGTAGACCCCGCTCGCCGCAACTAGAGAAAGCCTGTGCGCAGCAACGAAGACCCAACGCAGCCAAAAATAAATAAATAAAGGAATAGGAGTCACGGATAAGATACTTGAAACCTGTTTTTTTATCAGTCTCCTATAGCAAAATTCCTGTATGTTAATTCAACTTTCTTCTTGGCAAGGCTTCTTGCGAATTCCCCTCCCTCATGAGGTATAAAGAGAAAATGACTAGGACTCGGTAGTTCCCAGCAGTTTTCAGAGTACATGAAGGCACTTTATGGATTACCCATGGACAAAAAGAACAAAAATGCAGCAAAAATAAGTAAATCCACAATCTCATTTGGCCACCCAATGTAGATTTCTAGAGCTCCATAATATCTATACAATATTCTTCCCCTGTTGAATGATATTCCCACCAAACAGAAACCCACTCTCCATTCTTCCTAAGGGCCCTTCTGGGCAGCATCCCATTTCTTCTCTCCTGGTGCTTCCTGGTGTCTGTGACCAAGGCTTCCCAGGCCTGGAGACTCCTTTGACTGACACTCAGCCCATTTTGCCAAGAAGGGAATGCTGTTACCAGGAGACCACTGAGCCAGGGACTCAACTCACAAACTAATACTCTCCAGGGCTCTCTCAAATTCTTGTGAGGGTGCACCGTGGCAACCCTCCTAGGAAAGGTTTTTAAAGCACCTAATGTTGGAAGAAGGTCTCAGTTGGCAAGGCGCACTTCATTGCTACTGATGTTGCTGATCCCAACAGCAGTTTTCACTTAAATTCCTCCCATATGAACATGCAGGATCAAATAAATACACCGTACTTTTAACTGGAGACAAAATGGTGTAGTGGTGAAATACAAGGGCTCTGCAGACAGTCAGTCCTGGCTTTGCCACCTCTTGGCTGTGACAGTGGGCAACTTAATCCCTCTGTGCCTCCAATTTCTCCTCTACAATATGGGATGATACGAGTACCTACCTCATGAAGTTGTTGTCAGGATTAAATGAGTTAGAACGTGGAAATGCAGTGCTGGGCACAGAACGTTCACTCGGTAAACATTGCTATCACCATTACTCCTGGGAGGATATTCTTACAAAGAAAAAAAAAAAAGGCAATGACAATGTTGTAAGTAAGGGCCAGGTTTAGAGACAAAGGAATTGTCTGGAAGATTCAGGACAAAAGGCATTTTGGAGGGAAAGTGTAAGGGGGTGGAATTTCTCTTATCCAGAAAAGCCATGTAAGACTCCAGCTTGCAAGGGAAATGCTGCCTGGGACTGTCTGGTCAGGAACTCAGAAGAGGCCCACTGAGATGTGCTGGGCCGCAGCCTCTATCTCAGCTGGGTGCTTCCAGAATGGCTCCTCTGTGGGTCAGGCAAGGAGAGGGGAAGACAGTGTGTAAGAAGTAAGTTTTGTTTTTTCCATCTGTGCTTGACACTCCATCCCACACAGAAGGAGAACCGTGACAGAGTGTTTTGCTGTTTGAATCACTGTGGCAACCTGAATTCCTTTGCTCTTCCAGGAAACCATAAACAAAATCAATTCATTGAGCGGACACTCTTTTTTGCTTCTGTTTTCCTTCTCCAATGGCTAGTGCTTCTTAAAAGGGGAGAGGGGTCTCTTGATTGTTTTAAATATACCGTATTTCAGACCCCTCAAAATATGTTTACGTAATATCAGGTGAAAGAACCTTAGAAAAGCTGATAAAGCAGGCATGAAAGCTTAGATGTGTTCACTGTAGCCACCTTTTGATGACAGGCATGCCATAGAACTAAAGTCATTGATCTGAATTATTTAAAAGTCATTGTGAGACAAAGGAAGAATGGAGGGAGAAAGAGGATGTAAGGGGGAAGGTGAGAAGGAAAAAAGGAAAAAGGTTGCTGGCAGGGCCCACTTTATGGGTGTGTGACCAGTAAAGCCACAGATGCCCCACACTCAGCAGGGAGCTCTGTGCTCTGGGTATCATGCTCTGTGGCCATCTGAAAATTCTCAGTAATTCTGTCGTTGAATCTGTGTTTTGTATGTTAAGTCTAATAGGACACTGGAGCCTCAGCTCACACAGTCCCACCTCCCTGCTGCCCTGGGACAGATGCTCAGGCCCCAGCTCCTCAGTCCCCTGGCAGGGGTCTGGGCACAGACTCAGGGAGGGTCAGGATTGAGCATGTGCTGAGTTGCAAGATGGGGCCCTAGGCACCTGTGAGGGTTTGCAATCACCGTGAGAATGCCCAGCCCAAGGGAGTGTGACACTAAATAGCAAATAAAAATCGCAATGACAGGTCCAGAGAGACACCATAGAAGAAGGGAATACATTATTCCTCTGCCATGTGAGCAGGGGGCTCCACATTTCCCCTGGGCCCCATAAATTATGTAGCTGGCCCTGGTTGTAACATTTAAAACCCACTCAGCACTCTTGCTGGGGCTCAAAGTTGAGAGCTTTGAGTGCCCTGAGCCTTTGGTCCTGCAAGAGGTTGCAGAACTTGTATCAGCTGCAGTCCCCTGATACAGTGGGAGCACACTCGAGGGTTCACTGTGTAATGGTTCCCTGTGAAGCCACGCTGAGTAACGGGATATCCGGAGAGTCCTCAGTGCAAACAGGGAGAGGCGAGGGAAAGGAAGAGGAAAAGCAAAAATGAAAGGGTGCTCTTCCACAGAATTGTGCAAACTGACTCAGAGGTTCTAAAAGACAGCCCTGGGGTCAAATAAACTGGGATAATAAAGTGGGAGGAATGCCAAAAGAAATGTTACATGGGAAAATTTATTAGGAGGTGGCTGTGGAATAGCACTTGGAATGTATTAGAATTGCAGCTTTAAAAAAGTTCAACACTCTCAGCTGATTCACTTTGTTATACAGCAGAAACTAACACACCATTGTAAAGCAATTATACTCCAATAAAGATGTTAAAAAAAAAAGATGTTCAACACTCTTTCTGCCCAGGACCCTGAGCCTGGCACGTGACCTGGCTCCTGGCCCCCAGAACTAGAGCGTGTCTCTGCCGTTTCTGTAACTTGCTCCTCACGCCTCCTAGAGACCTCCATTCTTCCCGTAAGACCTGCTGCGTGGAGATACAGTGTCTCTATAGATTCACTGAGAAAATTATAATGCTGATGAATTATTTGGACTGTTTTATGATCTTTACACAGATATCAGGAGAAATCTGAAAGATAAGACTTTTCCACTGTGTGAGATAAAACTAGAATTTACTGACCACTGAGGATTTATTGTCATCTAAAATTGCAAATGCTTATGCAGTGTTTTTTGTATTTTTCAGTCCAATGAAAGGTAACATGCACAGCATTTACTTACTCATTTGTTTAAGCTGAAGAGATGTAGGACACTCTCAAGAAAGAGCTGGTGACTTTTAAGGCTGGGACAGGTTACTAAAAAGAGTGTAGAATAGCCTCCCTTCAAAGATAAGATAAGGGCTTCCCTGGTGGTACAGTGGTTGAGAATCCGCCTGCCAATGCAGGGGACATGGGTTCGATCCCTGGCCCTGGAAGGTCCCACATGCCACAGAGCAACTAAGCCCGTGCGCCACAACTACTGAAGCCTGTGCGCCCTAGAGACCGTACTCTGCAACAAGAGAAGCCACCGCAATGAGAAGCCCGCGCGCTGCACTGCAAGCAAGAGTAGCCCCCGCTCGCGGAAACTAGAGAAAGCCCACGCACGGCAATGAAGACCCACAGAGCCAAAAAAAAAAAAAAAATGATAAGATAAAAACTTATTATACACCTACACAGAAAGAGGAACCCAGTTTAGATGGTTGCCTAAAATTCTTTCCTTTTCATACTTATTTGTTTTTATTTCTTTTTATCGATTAGCTACTAAATTATGACCCACTTCTTTTCACAAAGGATTTTTGACAATTAGATTACATGCAATTTATAGCAATTTGACCATTACCAGATCATTCTGATCATCATTATGTCACTAGTCAGTACTCATCATAGTCACTTTGTTAACATTAAAATTAACTCTGCCAGCTTCTCAGGGGTTAACCTCTACAGCAAGTGGGGGAAACAAAATGAATATATTTAATGAGGAAGTCATCTAGGTGGCCCACCCATTGTGCTAGCTCTGATGTCAGTCAATTACACCTGTATTTAAGTCCTCCTTAGTTCACTGATGATGGAAGACAATTTAGCTCTTACAGGAGACAAAAATCCCTGCAGTGACTTGAGACAAGTGGAAATTTGTTTGTGGGTTTGATAAAATGAATTTTTTGTTGTTGTTGTTTTGAATTTTTTTGCTTTGAATTTTTATCTTAATTTGCATAGACAGGGAAGAGCACTGGATTGTACCTAATGAGCTTTTTTTGACTCTGTTTTCCAGAGTGGAAATAGAATTCTGTGTTCCATCATTCTGAGCCATCACCAGGGTCCATCCATAATCAACTACGACGATGAGAGTGGGAAGACGTGTGTGCACATCGCTGCAGCAGCAGGTTTCAGTGACATCATCAACGAGCTGGCAAGATTCCCTGAGTGCAACCTGCAGGCTCTGGATGTGGACGACAGGTATCCATGGCAACTCAGAAATGTGGGGAACTACCAGTCATCTTTTCCAAATTTTAATCTCAAAATAAAGAAGATGTTTAAGGAGTTATCCTGTATGACTATAGCCTTACTGCCAGTAATATTTATACATGTGCTTGTGACAATAAAAGCTGCTCTATTTTAGTCAGGGCAGGAAAAATCATTGTTATGAAGAGAAACGCCATGACTATACAGTACCGTCAGACTTTCCACTTTTTGCTAACCGTTCTCAGTGTTCTCAGAAGGCCTTCTGTATATCAGCTTCCTGCTATAGGCGCTTTTTGTTTTTAACAGTAAGTCTTAATTCTTTTCCTTTGTTCCTGGATTATGTCATAAAGTCAACAAGCTCTTGTTATCCAGAGAAGAGCATAATAGAGGCTTTGTGTTCAGAACTAGATGTGACCTTATCAGGGTTCTGCTTTGGGTTTCTTCAGTAATTAAAGATGTATTTGCATAGAAAAGGAAGCTGAGTCCAGAAAGGTAAAGAGACTTGCCTCAGAGGTATTTAGCAACTAAATGAAAACTTGTACCCTTGACTTCTAAACAGAGCTTTTTACCTACATGCCCTTCATCCATAATCAACTATTAGAACTTTTCAATTACTATGTGTATCTAACCTTTCTTTCAGTTAGGCATAGACTCAATGGAAATATAAGAATAATGTAACAACAAATAAGACTATTGAAAATGAGTATAAGGCTTGTACACTACGTATAGTTTTGTTTACCTTTTTCTATTGAAGTGCAAATCTAGCCACCTACTTATCATGATTTTAGATGCCCCAAGAAGCACTTCCTACTTCCTGATATCTGAAATCCTTATAACACAGGGGGAAAAAATTCTTGGGTTCTAGTAAGTCTCAGAAGCTGGAGATGGTTAACATGATGACTTTAATTAAAATTAAGGTATAAATCATTGAAAGTAGACCTTTTCCTAAGAGCAGATGTTGAACTTGAGCAGGTAAGAAAGTAATAGGACTTAGTTACATGAGGAGAAAAGGTGAATGATCCAAAAAGAGAAGTAAAGAACACATCTAGGAAAAGAGGGGTAGAAAACAGTTTGCCTACTTCAAAATACTTGTAGAACCAGCTCTGAATAGAGTATTTCCCACTTTGCATTATCACATGCTTAGCAGAGAAAATTTAGTTCCCCCAGCCTCAGGGAAGAAAGAAAAACCAAGGGGAGAAAGAAAATGCAGAAGATTGGGTCCTACAAGGGTTCAAAGTGAAGGAAAATCTCAAGAAAGGTCTAGTTCCTGCTCCAAAGTTCAGCTCATGTGTTGCATGCACTAATCAAATCCTGCTCTTCATTTTGTTTCAGTTTCTGCATCCTGCATTGTGTAGCTGTGCCTTCACATTGAAACTGTAAGCTTGTATTAGTATAGAATTTTTCAAAATTTTCATAGGTTTAAGTACTTAACGCATTTGCAACAATTGTGACTTTCCTTTCCTTCTTTTTTTTTCCCCCAGTGGAGAGACAGTTTTTGAGGAAGGAGAAGAAAAATAAGGCAATGATTTAAAAAAAACGAGGATGAGGGAAAATATGGGGAAACTAGTCCTCCTAGATATTAAAACACATCATAAATCTATGACATTGAAAACACGGTGGCACTAGCCTAAGATTGATGGCACAGAACACATAACTCGTAAACAGCCCATGTAGCTTAAATGTCCCAAATTTCGTCGGTCTATGAGGTCATACTTTCCTTTAGTACCCAAGTCATTTATTTTCAGGAGGGAGAGTCTTTTATCAAACTCTCCTACCTACACATATCTGGGAATTATCTAGAGAATGTTTGCATGTTCCATAAATCGTTCCTTGGCTTCTGACACTCCAGCCAACACTGATTCTTGTACCCATCATCTCCTGCCCTTCAGAGACCACCTCATCGCCCACTGCTTGTCTCTGATGAATTTCTTCTGAATCATGGGCCCTGATTCTCCAGCTCCTCACTGTGATAGCTGAGTCCAGTCTGCTATGTTTGTAGGACTATCCTGAAGCTTAGAGATAAGAAAGGAACTACAGCTTAGATAACCTGAAATTGGATGCTACATATTGCCCACGAAGGCTCTATGTGTATTAGTTAGAAGTTATCTATGCTTCTCCTGTTTCTCTGCAAAATAATATTTTTGCCTGTGTCCTTCTGGACTTCTTCCATGTTGATGGCCAGAAGAATTAAAACAGTCACTCTTAGCAATTGTTGTGAAGGAGTATTTCACAATGCTCCAGAGAGAATTGTCACGTGTTGGTAAACCTGACTACATTGATATCCAGCCCTCCATCTACTGAATTTATGGGCAATATATTCTCTAAGCAGGAAGGCATAATATGGCTGATGCCTCATCTTGTTTCATAATAAATATTGTTTGGAGTCCTCACTCACACAGAATGGAATGAATCATATCTGCTACATGTTCAAATAGGCAGTGTGATTGATGACTGTGTTGAAAAAATATACGCTCCTATTAAGGGTTCTCAAATTTCTGCCCATATCATAACATGAGGAAAAGGATGCTTGATTGACAGAGGACACGATTTACCATGGGGACTGTGGTCGCACTGTGGACATGGCTACTCTCCGAATACTAAGACCCAAGCCCCTTCGCAGATGCCCGGCCCGCAGGCTGCCTCCATGTCTGAGAGACCTCTTGGCTCTCCCAGGGGTGGCCTTCTGCCAGCGGTCAAGCCCCAGAGTAAAGCCAAGAAGAGGCCTTCCAAGCCCTCCTTTCCTGCCTCAGGACTGATCCTTTCCCAGAGTGACTGACAGGAAGAGTAGCCACTCTCTTCACGGGAAACCCCATTCACAGGCATGTCCTTTTTCACTGTGCCCCTCCTTAGCCTCCCAGGGTCCCACTGCCCAGGCACACCACACAGACATCCCCCACCACCCATTTCCCAGCATCTCTGCCAAGGAAGCACGGTTTGGGTCCCCTTTGCTCTTGGGTCCAGTGGTCCTTTATGTTCTTATCACCTTCTTGTCCCATCTGCCTTGATGGTTCTTTCTACAGCTGGGGAGCTAATTTACTCCAAATCTGCTCTCAGTTCTGGGCTTGGCTTTTGGAAACAGAAAGACACTGACTATTTCTCTTATCCACCCTGCTATATCCCTCCCCTGAGATTGAGCATAAAATCAACCATATCCTTAAATGAGGAAAGAGGAAGGGTAGAAAAGTATGTATATACGTCAGGATCTCAAAATATGATCCCACTGCACTAATAAATGGTGTTGAGAAAAGTTGGCTATGTAACTGGAAAAATGGTCAGACTGGCTCCGGGCCTCACCACACATATCAAAATACACATACAGACACACGTGCAGTTTTTTTTTTTTTAATCCAAATAAATCTAGAAGAAAATATTGGTTTCCTTTTTATTTACATTCAGTAAAATTTACTTTTTTTTTGATGTATAGTTTTATGAATTTTAACACATGCATAGATTCATGTTACCACCACAAGCAAGATTCAAGACAATTCTGTCACCTCCAGCATCAACTCAGGTTGTCCTTTTGTAGTCAAGGCCTCCCCCATCTCTAAGCTCTGGCAACCACTGATTAGTTCTGTCTCTTGGGTTTTGCCTTTTCCAGAATGTTATATAAATGGAAATATACAGTATGTAATCTTTTGAGATTGGTTTATTTCACTTGGTAGAATGACTTGAGATTCATCTATGTTCTATATATCAGTAGGCTGTTCTTTTTATTGCTGAGTAGGATTCAATTTTGTGGATGAACTATAGTTTGTCTTCACCCATTGAAGGACATTGGGTTGTTTACAGTTTTAGGCAATTATGGATAACGCTGCTATAAACATTTGTGTATAAGTTTTTGTGTGAACATAAATTTTCATTTCTTTAGCTATATATCTAGAAGTGAGATTGCTTGGTCATATGGTAAGTATGTTTAACTTTAGAAGGAACTGACAAACTGTTTTCTGGTGTGACTGTTTCCATTTTGTATTCCCACCAAGAATGTATAAAAGTTCAGGTTACCCTGACTCTTCATCAGCCTTTGGTATTGCCAGGTTTGGGGTTTTTTTTTTCCAATTTTTTTTTCAATTGAAGTATAGTTGATTTACAATGTTGTACCAATCTCTGCTGTACAGCAGTGACTCAGTTATACACACACAGACACACACACACACAGACACACACACAGACACATACTATATATACATTCTTTTTATTTTTTCTTAATTTTAGCCATTTAAATAAATATGTAGTTGTATCCCATTGTGTTTTAATTTGCATTTCTCTAATGACAAATGTTATTGAGCACGTTTTCATGTGCTTATTTACCATTTATGCATCTTCTTTGATAAAGTGTTCAGATCTTTTGCTAATTTATTTTAATTGGCGTGGTATTTTTTTATTCAGTTTTGGAATACTTTACATATTCTGAATACAAATTCTTTGTTGAATGTGCAGTTTGCAAATACTTTCTTCCAGTCTCAGGCTTTTTTTTTTCTTCCTTAAGAAAATAATAGTTTTACCATTTAACAAGGTTTAAATACTGATGAATATTCATCCACCTTCTGGCTGATGAAGGACTTTCTAAAACATAAAATCATGAAACAAACCAAAAATGAAGAGGTAAATAAATGTGATTATTCCTTAAAATTTTTTATGGAAAATCACTAAAAAATTAAAAGCTAAGGGCTTCCCTGGTGGCGCAGTGGTTGAGAGTCTGCCTGCCGATGCAGGGGATGCAGGTTCGTGCCCTGGTCCGGGAAGACCCCACATGCCGCAGAGCAGCTGGGCCCGTGAGCCATGGCCGCTGAGCCTGCACATCCAGAGCCTGTGCTCTGCAACGGGAGAGGCCACAACAGTGAGAGGCCCGCGTACCGCAAAAAAAAAAAAAAAAAAAAAAATTAAAAGCTAAGTAACAAATTAGAGAAAATGTTTTCATAAACATAACCTAGAAAAAAATTGATACCTTAAATATTTTAAAAACCCATATAAATTAGTAAGAAAAACTAATAATCTAATAGAAAAATGGGCATAGGGCATTAAGAATCATTTCAATGAAGAAACTCAAATGGTAAATAAACATATATTTCAAAAGTTCTTCCTCACTATTAATTAAAGAAATGCAGAAGAAAACAACACTGAAGTACCATGTTGCCTACCAAGTTGGCAAAAGTCTTTAAAGATGGTGATAATACAATATTGGGAAGGAGTAGGGACACAGCTAGTAGGAGGAGAGATTGAGCCAGTTTTTTTGGAAGGCAGTTTGGCACTATGTATAAGGAGCCTTATGATTGTTCATACCCTTTGACCCACTACTTCCTCTTCTAGGAAATTCTCAGAAAGACCAAAGCAGGTGGAAGGCCACAGAATATCAGAATTAGAGGAGAGGCCCTTACACACATACACCATCATCCTGAAGCCCCATTTAATACATACCATTTCCACACTGTAAATAGCAACAAGTCTTTCCTGCCATGACCCAACTTCAAGCAGGAGCTGTTGCCAGCTAAGTAACCTGTACCATTCATGTGCTCAGACACTTATGCTGTTCCCCTGTGGTCCCCCAGGACACCTCTGCACTGGGCTGCAGCTGCAGGAAAGGCAGACTGTGTGCAGTCACTGCTGGAGCTGGGCATAGACAGCAACCTGCGAGACATCAGTGAGAGCACACCCCTGGCCTATGCCCTGTACTGCGGTCACACGGCCTGTGTCAAGCTCCTCTCCGAAGAGAGCAGGTGAGCGCACCAGGAGGCACTCATTTTTTCTTCCTTTCAAAGATTTATAAAATTGGATGAAATTGTTTAAACTGCCAAAACTAGCAGAAAATCAGCAATAACTTAATAATCGTGTTTGCCATTATCTAACATGTAATGACATGTCCTTGACGCTGTGGAGCAAAATGATAGTAGTAAGCCTGAATCCATCAGGCTAATATTCACTGAACTCTAATCTCTTCTTTCCTTTTTCTCCCTTTCCTCGTCCCGTTATGCCATATACTATTTATTTATTTATGGCTGCATTGAGTCTTCGTTGCTGCGCGTAGGCTTTCTGTAGTTGTGGCGAGTGGGGACTACTCTTCGTTGCGGTGCGCAGGCTTCTCACTGTGGTGGCTTCTCTTGTTGCGGAGCATGGGTTCTAGGCGCGTGGGCTTCAGTAGTTGCAGCACGCGGGCTCAGTAGTTCTGGCATGCAGGCCCTAGAGTATGCCGTATACCCTTAGTTGCTCTTCTGCCTAAATCAGCGTTTCTCCAACTTTTTGTTCTCAGGACCCTTTTACACTCTCAGAAATTATGGAGGACCCTAAAGAGCTTTTGTTTATGTGAGTTACACCTATCAATATTTATGGCATTAGAAATGAAAACTGAGAAACTTTTGAAAAAATATTTTGTTATTAATTTAAAGTAATAACCCATTACATTTACAAATTAACATTAATACCATATTTTTAGTTAAAAAATAACCCATTCTTCAAAACAGACCAAAAAAAATGTAATGAGAAGAGCAGTTTTGTTCTACTTTGCTCTTTGAATCTCTTTGATATCTTTACAGAAGCTTAATAGAATACAGCTGCATTCCCACATCTGCTTCTGCATTCAATCCATTGCAATATGATTGTTTTGACTGAAGTGTATGAAAACAATCTGGCCTCACATAGATATGTAGGTGAAAAAGGGAGGAGTATTTCAAGAGCCTTTTCAGATAACTGTGGACACCTTTCCTTTGATACTACGCCAAAACTTGACAAGTAGTAGTTTCCTAAAGCTTAGTGGCAATGTGGACTCTGTCACCATATCAGTGAAGTTTTTGAATTCTGTTACATTAAAATCCATTCATCTCTCTAGCACTTTAAATGTGTCTTACATCTATGCATGATTTTATAATATCTTGCATTGGTCATTTGGAAAATATTGGTTTACTTAGTTATGAATATCTTCCAAATAGTACATTTCATTATACAATACCAGAAAAAAAATCACATTTGTTAATATCACCACTGATCTCATCAGAAAAGCCTCTATGTATCAGGAAGCTGTCAAGCTCACAGTGTGCATACAAATTTTCCAAAATTCTAATTTTTGCTTGAAAGCTAGATTTTTGTCATTGGCAACAATTAATGTCAGTTGTTTACCTTGAAATGACAGGCTCACTTTGTTCATTTTTGAGAAATCAAATGCCCAACTCCAAATAACCACAGCTTGTCTATAAGCCATAAAAATCATGTTTCATGAAAAAAGTGTCTAGTTCAGCTAGCAACTCAAACAACGGCACAAATGTTTTACCTCAAAACAACCATTGTACTTCAGTATATAGTAGAATTGTTTATGAGTAATTCCTATTTTATCGAAAAAATGTATCTCAAGGATCAATATTTAGTAAAATTAATAACATTTACTGGACATTATTAAGTTTAATGGCAATTTTTTTAATGAAAGCCTATTGTTGTTACTACCTTGATATGTGCCAAGGAGCCCACAGTTTCACCCACTTGCTCTCTTGCACCCTTGGTGTAAAAAGCAGACCAGTGGAAAAAACACTGGTGAGGGGCTTCCCTGGTGGCGCAGTGGTTGAGAGTCCGCCTGCCGATGCAGAGGACATGGGTTCGTGCCCCGGTCCAGGAGGATCCCACGTGCCGCGAAGCGGCTGGGCCCATGAGCCATGGCCTCTGAGCCTGCGCGTCTGGAGCCTGTGCTCCGCCGCAAAAAAAAAAAACAAAAAAAAAACCAAAACACCGGTTAGAAGTGATATTATTATGAATATAAGTTAAACCTCAGAAACTTCTGAAGACTATCAGGGCCCTCACCTCCAGGTTCAGTGGACCATACTTTGAGACCCACTGACCAAAATCACAACCTTAAGAGGAGAAGGAGATTGTTTATAGAAGATGCTGAAGTAGCATCAGTTAGCACAGGGGCATATTCTGTATGGGGAAACTTGAAAGAATGCTAGAGATCTCCTGGGGTTCTCTCTGGTAGTATCAGGAGTCCAGAAGTTGTGTTTAATATTTCAAAAAGCCTATTGGAAGGTGAAAGGAGGATAAAAATATATCACAGGAATAAAGATTCAATTATACACTGTGTGACCTGCAGAAAAAAAAACAAAAACAAAAACCATTCATTATATGCAGCCAAAATGAGGGGTGATTTTTTCAAATTACATATTACAATATCTCACTCCAAAGAGTAATGTTGCAATCTGGCTTTTAGGGCATGAACACAGTCAGGTTTCATCATTAACTCATACCACAGAAAGCATTAAATCAATTGTGGCCTCAGAAGAGAACAACACAGAATTTTCCAAGGAACAAAAACAGAATAGTGCCTCAGGGAAACTCTCCACACAGGAAGAGCCAGCCGGACAGCTGCTGACCGTTTTTTCCTTTAGAAATTGCCTGCTCATTGGGCATTGCTCATTTTCTTCTCCTGCCACGCCCAACCTCTGGAATACACACTTCCTCTTCTGCAGCTGAAGCCCAGACAAAAGCTTCTCTCCTCGTCTTCCTTTAGTACACTTTTTCAATAGGAAATTTAGTAAAAGCTCAACAAGAAACAACACACAAACAGCGTAAAATGGGCGGGCTTCCTATCAGAGCTCTGCCCAGATCTCCTGGGATCCCTTTCAGAGAAAGCCTAAAATCACACTCCCCCGACATCTGCAACCTCCACCCTGCTGTTGCTAGTTGAAGCCTGAAGGCCAAATGTACTCCACATTTGGCCTTCATCTCTTTGACATAAAGCTTGCACTCCTACTGACTGTCCTTAAGAAGTGAGAACAGTAATACTGTGAGGTATTTTCAGCTTACTTGATCCCTGGGAGAAAACAAATTTTGAAAGGATAGTTTCTGAGGGAGCAGGTGAAATCTAACTAAGAAATGTTCTAACTGGACAGAGAACTGACCATGGCAAGGAAGGGGATGGCCAAGGAGGTTGTGAGTAGCTCTTGCACATCACCTTTGACTTAAGAGGGCTTCGAGTGTCTATGGATGATCTCAGACAACCTGCTCAGGTGGATGGAATAGAGGGAGGTCTGTTGTGTGGTTACTGCTGGTGTCTCCACTTCCTGCCCTCACATAGCATCCTTGTTATTTTATATTCCCATAGAACAGAGCCTACTCGACCCCTTCCTTCCCAGAAGAGTAGACCCCAGAAGAAGGAGGGACGATTCAGCATGCTCAATCAAATCTTCTGCAGGAACAAAAAAGAAGAGCAGAGGGCCTATCAGAAAGATCACTGCAGGGACTGGCACAGGGCGGAGCCCACCTCGGAAGTTGATGACATCATCACCACCTTTGACAGCAACATGGATACCAACTGCCAAGAACAGCCTGGTGATCAGGTGGCTATGGTTGACTTTAAGAAGAGGACCTCAGAGAATTCAAAATATCACTTGCCAGAAAAGAAGCCTCTGGCCCATAAAGGACTTCCGCCAATCAGAACGCAGAGTCTCCCACCCATCACCCTAGGCCATAACTTCCTGACAGCCCCCCAGGGGGCCACTTCCCATGCTGGCCTGAGCTCTGGTACTCATCATGCTGCCCAGAAATCTCAGAAAAGCCGAAGTGAGCAGGATTTATTGAATAACAGAACTGGCTGCCAGGTATTGCTAGATAACCAGGTGTTCTATAAAGCTTGGACTGTGTCTTCTTCTGATAAGCTGCTAGACAGGTTGCTTACCAGCAGATCCAGTCACCAGGAGGTGTCGGGGCCGCCACATCTTCCTCATCTACATAATCCTTCATCAGGTAATGTCCCTGCTTCCTTCTTTCTCATTTCTGACTGATTCTATACAAGAAATGTGTTATGCAGTCCTGGGTTAGGAACTGGAGTGACAGGAGGTGGCCTAGAGGACAGGGTCAGAATGGAAATGGGTGATTAGGCTACCTTTTTCCCTTGAGTGTACTGGATTCAGGATTTCCAGGCTATGGAAACAGTCTGCGTTTCCACCTCGAGAGCAATCATCAAGTAAAAGTATGTGCCTTCTCATCTTATCTCATTCGTAGCAGATATGTGTGGTGACTGGCAGATTAGAGCAGGAATATTACTATTTCCACTAGCAAGTATTCTTAAGCAGGGATACTTGGCAGTATCACCTATGAGGGGTTGATTTGTTTGTGTGATTGTTTGTTTTTAAATCATGTGTTCGATGACCACTCCAGGACTAGTGAACCAAGATCTTGGTGAGGCAAAAGGGAAAATGGCAATGCCTTCTATGTATACACGTAGAAAGAGAACACATTCACACATGTGTGGCTCAGGTCTCCATACACACCAAAGGGTTACGTGGCAATTCTCCCTCCTGCCTCTTGCCCCAGCTACTGAGTGCCCCTCATCCAAAGCTATGTTATTAATTTTTTGTTTACCTTCCAGAGATATTTTATACATATTTAAATATACATGTATATATACATTTTAAATAAGTGTATCACACTAAAGAATCTATATTTTTATACACATGCAAGCAATATATACGTACCTATTTTCCCATTTAACATTTGTGTTAAACAAATGTATCACACTAAAATTTTTATTTCTTTGTTAACGGCCCCCAGGTGATTCTGATGTATACCAGAGACTAAGAACTATCGTTCTAATAAAGCAGAGGCTGCAAAACAACTTCCAAAATCAGTTCATTACTAATGCAGTAATCAAGTGAATTAATTACTAGTATTTAAAAATCGTGAAGTTTGACATAAAAATTTAAAACTCTAGCTTCTCTTGAGAAGTTGAAAAGTCTGGCAACACTGAACCCAAATTTCACTTGGCAATAATTGCCTGGATCTGAGTAACCACTATCCCCATAGACATCACTTGGACATCACTGTCCCCAGTTCAACCCAGTCTGCACCACTCTCCAGTATCTGCCTGTGGAGCGTCAGTTGTTCTTTATCAACAAGTTTCTGTTGTTGTTTTTCTTATAGTAGGGTTAAGAGGAAAAATGATATATTGCTTGAACCATATTTCTTTCAGAAGTAGAAAAATGAAAGCCCAAGGGGGCTATGTATATTTTAAGAAGTAGAGGAGCACAGTATATCTTTGGAAATAAGGAATATTCCTTCCCGTTTAATATGCAGCATGAGTCTGGCTCTCCTCACTCATCTTCATGTACCTGATGTCTGAAACCTGTGAGGTAGAGTATGGCTTCCCTCATACATATTTATATGTTTTTAAGCACAGGATAGATAGGAATAAACACATGAAGGCTATTTCCTGAGAAAAACTTCCCTCAAGATTTTACTTCCTCCACTAAGCACTGAAGCGTGGGTAGTTTTTCCTTGTGTTCTGCAGAAGGGTGAGGAAGAAAAGATATTGATCTGCTGTCTTTGGTGGCCTCCAGGGCCTTGACTCAGCCTGCTTTCTGGAGTTAGTCCTGTCTTGGCTAATATCTTCTTTTTGAAATTTTTTTGAAATTTGTGAAAGTCTTGCTCTTTTTCTGTTCCCAGGACAGCCTTGGGCTGTCTTTTCTATATCAGTTAGGATTGGGTTCATCTGCCTGTAACAGAAATCCAAAGTAACAGTGGCTTAAACAGCATAGAAGTTTATTGCTCTCATATGAAAGTAGTCGACGGTGATGGTTCCCAGGTGCTTGGTGAATCCATGATCACCAGAGACCCAGGCTCCTTCCATCTGTATGCTCTACAACTTAACCTATGCCTTTCATCCTTTGGATCATTGCACATTTCATAATGTCTGACAGAGCAGGAGGAAGGAAGGGGGGTGGGGCGGAAATGGATGTCCGCCAGCTGAATTAGCTCCCATTAATAAGTTATCTCCCATAAATTCCACAGTCTGCTTCCATTTCTTTGGCCAGAACTTTAGTCACATGATCATGCCTATCTGCACGGGAGACTGGGAATTGGATCCTTTTAACTGGGCACATGACCGTCCCTCCAAAATTGGATTTTTGTTTCTAGGAGGAAAAAGAGAATAGATATTGGATAGAGAACTAGTAGATTCTTTCACATGTGCCATCTAAAACCTTCTATATTATTTAAAATAAAAGGAAATTCAATAAATTGGTTTGAGGATTTGTTTCACTTTTCCAGTGAAGTAACTTGAAAAGTCCTATGGGGCAGAAAAGGAGAAGCAGAATTCTCCAAGGGAATGTCAAATAATTAGCCATGCCTGTACCAAAGCATTTATTTTTTTCAACCAATTTTTTTTTTTGTAGATGTTGGGGGTAGGAGTTTATTAATTAATTTATTTATTTTTGCTGTGTTGCGTCTTTGTTTCTGTGCGAGGGCTTTCTCTAGTTGTGGCAAGCAGGGGACACTCTTCATTGCGGTGCGCGGGCCTCTCACTATTGCGGCCTCTCTTATTGCGGAGCACAGGCTCCAGATGCGCAGGCTCAGTAGTTGTGGCTCACGGGCCTAGTTGCTCCGCGGCATGTGGGATCCTCCCAGACCAGGGCTCGAACCCGTGTCCCCTGCATTAGCAGGCAGATTCTCAACCACTGCGCCACCAGGGAAGCCCCAACAACCAATGTTTTTGAATGCTGATAATAACTAGGAGCCATTCTAAGTAACTGAGTCATGACAAGATAAACTCCCAAGAATCTTCAGCCTATAAATGAACTTTAAGGTACATGGATTTGCTAAACTGATTATACAACTCACTTTAAATTGATTTTCTTCTCATGTTTAGATACAAAATCATAAAGAGTTTTAAATGGAAAGGACCTTAGTTCTTTCACTCATTCTTTAATGGATAATGTCTTTAAAGGATAATGTCTATTATCCTGATTTATGAAGAGGCAGCACATCCAGTGGTTAAGAAAGGGATTCTTTTTTTTGGCTGCACCACACGGCTTATGGGATTTAGTTCCCTGACCAGGAATCAAACCTGGGACCATGGCAGTGAAAGAGCCAGCTTCTAACCACTGGACTGCCAGGGAATTGCCCCAAGAGAGGGATTCTAAAGTCACACTATCTGGGTTCAAATTCTGACTCTCTCATTTACTTGCTGTTACTGAATCTCTCTGAGCCGTTGTTTCTTCATGTCAAAAATGGGAGGAAATACCTAACATGTAGGGCTGTGAGTTGCTGTTAAGATTAAACAAATTGATGCATATAAAATACTTAGAACAGTGATTGAGCATAGTACTATACACACATACACATTTGTGGGGTTTTTTTTTTTTTAGCTATGTGCCAGGCCCTATGCTAAGCACTATGCCTTAGAGACAAGCTACAGATGACCTTTGTTTAAAAGATGATGACATTTAAGTAAATGTGCTAGTCAGCTGCCTTTTTGCTCTCGGATCTAGTCTCTTCCCTCCAGCTCTACTTTGTATCTCAGGAAACTACACTTCCCAGGCTCCCTTGCAGCTGCTTCCAGGTACTTTTGGCCAAGTACCAAGAGGCACTGGCAATAGAGTAAGAGCAGGAGAAAGAGGAAAACAAGTGTAGCTCTACACAGTGTCCCTCTGCTTCCTATGGATTCTCCAACAGGGCTTCCAATTCCTCCCACTTCCTCCACAAAGCCCCTCACTCTGTGGTTCTGGCTCCCACTAGCTTCTGAGCCTTGGTGATACCAACTCTTCCCCTTATCACTCCAGCCTAGAAGTGGTTGCATCTTCCTGCTGTGGTTAATCTCTGGATTGTCCTTCTACCCTGTCCTCTGGCTTCTCACCTTTTCCACCAACCAGTATAACCACCTTTCTGTATGAAATTCCCTCTGTTTCAAGGCCTAAAGGAGTCTCTATTTTCCTGAATGAGCCCTGATTGATAAGGCAAGACATGTCATCTCTCTCGGCTACAGTTTTCCTACCCTCTGGATACAGAGTCTGGGGCCATTTTGTTTCATGAGGCCCTTTCCAGTTATAATTTACATGGCCTAGAATCTGCTCAGTCTTGCAACTAATTGTTCTGAATATGTCACTAAGGACATATTCAGAACTTGAACCCAGACCTCCTAAATAGGAAGTTATCCCATGGCAATGTACATATTTCTCTCTTTAAGTCTCAAAGTCCAGTTTGTTAGTATGCTTACCAAATTACCTACAATGTGATTTTCTTAGAAATTACACTGTAGTCCCCAAAATAAAAAGATTTCTCTCTGCCTTATAGATTTTATTTTTGTGAATATTTTTTAACCCAATTTGAGGTGTTGTTTTTAGAACTGCTGAAGCTTCCAGAGTACAGTTGGGAGGGTTCACTTAAGGGGTTCAAGTTGTTACTCTAGGCAGGTTGAAACTCAGTAGATTTCTACACTGAGCTCCCATACTTGATTTGAAACCTAAAGTAGCAAAGCATTTGGATACTATAAATCATACCACAGCACCACTGACTTGAACTTGGATGGTCCCTTTACTTTGGATTTTCTCTTTTCACACCCTGGGTTTAGTAGAAATAATATGGGCTAGCAGTGATTGCTACCGTTTGAATTCCAGGCAGCTAATGTCCTGTGCTTACATCAGCAGCCCTGAACATTTAGCTGTAATGATTATTGCTTAACATTTATTGAGACCTGTCACTGGGCTAGATGGAGAGAGATGCGGGATGAGGCACTTAACTTAATGAGGGAATTTGGAGCACATCAGCTTAATTCATTGAGAGCAGCTTTCAGAGAAAATTGAACAGAAAGCTCTGTGGTGTTTGCTACCAGCCTGGTTATTTGCAGGCTATCACAAGGAAACTAACGCAGTGTTTGCTTCCTTTCTCCCTCAAGAGAGAACTTTCTTCTCCAGAATTTTCTAGAGTACCCCAGCAACAACGCGCTCTCCTCCTCAGGTCTGATAGTAGGTAGGTCTGATGCTGTGACCACCTCTGTTTAAACCCATCAGAAGCTTTGCATCTTAACAGGATGAAGGCCAGATTCTTTAGCTGGCAAACAAAGTCCTCCCAACATGGCCTGGCCTCACTTCCCATTCTCAACTTCTGCACCTCCCGTCTCAAATCCTTTCCTCCCACCCCCCAACCCCTTGAACAGTTCCTTGAATATCTCTCAGTTCCTATACAACTACATACCTTTTTACTCTATGACGTTTTTGCCCATGTTATTTTTATCCACTGTGTGCTTGACAGATTCCTACAATCTTTTAAGAACCAGCCCAAAACTTGCCTCCTATGTAGAAGTTACCCTGACTGCTGTAGGAGGTGTGACCCATTTTCACTATCCATCATAAAAGAATATCTCTGCCTTATTAAGCCTCCTCTGGGGCAGTGAACCACATACTTCCCCTTCAACAGCACTGCAGGAGAGGAATTTTTATCCCCATTTTAGAGATGAAGAAATTGAGGAGTAGACTGGTTAGCCCACTGACCTAAGGTCACAGAGCTAGCTAGGAAGTAGCAGAGCAGATGTGCAAGCGAGGTCTATGGGATTCAAGACACACTGACCTCTGATACCCTCACAGCACTACTCATGGCCTTCAGAAGTACAGCTTTACCTGTCTCTCTTCCCATCAGCCCCTCCTGAGCACCTTGCCTTCTGTTTGTACTCTAGGCTCTGGAATACAGTGAGTTTGCAATAGATGAGTGCTGAATTATTATTAATCTTCATTCACTTCTGTTTCCTCATTTAACGATGAAAACGTTTCCTGCCTTTTTATTCTAAGACAGTGGTCCTCAACCCTGTCCCCACAGGCTGGACACTCCCTGAAGGTGCCTACAGCCCAGATAAGAGAACTTTGGACTATGCACATTCTGCCTTGTCCTTCAAAACTGAGCAAAATGCCAGTGTGGAAAAAAGTTTAACTCTCCTCGCACCTCCTCCCAAATCACTGCTGAAGTCCTTCTCTGCCACTTCTCCCATCCTATCAATACTGCTGTGGCCCCTAAGGAGGCAGGATAGTGTGGATTTTAGGTCCAGAGCCTGGGGGACACTTCCCATCATGTGATCTTGCAGACAATTTAGAACTTCTCCAAGCCACAGTGTCCTCATTTGTAAAATGGGGATGATAATAGTATCTATCTCACAAGGGAAGGTGATTGTTAGGATTAAATGAGACTATGCCTACAGCAGTTAGTCCAGTCCTTGACAATAGTAAGTGCTCAATATGCATTATCCATAATTATCATTATCTCATTTTTGGTTTTGCAAATTTCTGCTCAAGTGTTCATGGATGAATAATCAGGTATGAGCTGATATGGGTTTTATTGTAATTCTACTTAGGAATGTTTTCTTTTAAATAATGGCTTGTGAGGTTATTTAACCTTCAAAGTTCAAAGGAATAAAAATATAATGGCAAAATGTCCACCAAGGAGACTAGAAATTTTGCTTACTGTTCATCAAATGACATCAAATGACACTGCTCAGATGACTGCCCCTACAAATCTACCACTGGACTCACCGAAGCAGATGGGAGGTGGATCATGGCTAATGCTTTTTTTCCCCTGTTCTAAGGACTGCTTTACCCAAACGGAAGACTTAAACCCTATGAGTGTTGCTGTAGTGATTCTGGTTCCTACTAGACTACTAAACGAAAGATCAAATGAATACAGGCCCCACTGTCCAGGAGATCATGTTAAACATGCCACAGAATAACACTGTAATAATTGCTAATGTTTATTGTTTACTCTATAAGCTAAATGCTTTACCTTTGTTCTCCTCATCTTTATGACAACTGAAAAAGACAGATAAAATTATTTTCAGCATTTTACATGTGAGGAAATTAAGATTTAGAGACAGAACATCACTTGCCCGAGTTGGGAATTAAGCCTAATCCTGTCTGACCCCAGAGCCCAAACTCCTATTTATTATACCATTTGGTCAACTTGTTAAATGGACTTAACTTTTGTGTAGTCCCTTCTATTTTCAGGTGTTTGGAACATCCATCTCTTGTAATCAGTCATGTGCTAATAAATGTTTAATAGGTGGCTCTTCAGAGAAAAATCAGTACTTGCTGATTTCCCTGATGTAAATATTCCCACCATGGCTGACGTCAAGCCACCAAGTATGATGTAAACCAGCTCACAAAATTCCTGAAAATTTAAGAGCTGTTATGCATAGCTCCAGCATAACTCTACTGGTCATCTAAATTAGATCATCCAGATCTCCCAAGTGCTTTCACTCAGCTCCCATCTTCTAGATCAGTGTGTCTCAATCCTGGATTCACAACAGAATCACCTGGGAGCTGACAAAAATCTGGCATCCTATCCCAGCCCCAGAGATACTCATTTATTTGGTGTGGTGTTTAGCCAGAGTAGCATCTTTTTTTAACTCCTCAGATAATTTCTCTGCGCAGCCAGGAGTAAGAAACACAGCTCTAGAAGAATATATTCTACTCATCACCCACTCATTCAACCCAGATTGACCAATATGTGATACACTAATACCCTATGTTATTTTTCAAACTTTTAAGTTTTGTAGAGTGCATGGCCAGCTGTGCTTGTTCAGAAAATTGTATTTAAATAGTTTACTCAAGAAATGATTTCTGATACCTTTTCCTTTCATTTAAACAGTGACTGGAATGTGATAGAAACAATATGGTAGAGCTATTAGTATTTTGTTGTTGTTGTTGTTAACATCATAAATTTCATGATCTATAACAACCTTTATGATTCTTTCATCCATTGGATTTTATAATTTGCCCTTGGTTGAGTCTCATATGATTGATGCAAATATGTTTGTCCCCAGGACAAAATTTTCAGCATCTCTCCCCAAACAGACCTAAAATCTGGGATCTTCCTTTCACCCGGAACAACCTGGCTCCCCTACCAGACCAAAAATGTAAGTATTTTGAATTTTCCTCGGCTTCCTTTGCAAAGGTTAACACTGTTAACACGTCTAGACAGGACTAAATGTTATTTTGGTTTACTTTCAATTTTCAAGAGAACATCAGGTGCCCAACCCTATAAATTACAGGAAAATAAAATAGAGACAGTCTTCAAAGCTTCATCCAACATGGTAATGCTTGTTTAAAAAAATACTCCCTCCCTTGAGGAATTTTTGTGTTTGGACTATAAAAACAATAACAGACGTTTATTTTGCTATGTACTATTTAATGTCTTTAATGCTTTAAAAATTCTTCTCTTAAGACTGGCTTCCTGACATTGTCTTCCTTACTATGTTGGACAGATAGAAATGTGTCTTACCTCTGCGCTCACAGGCTAATGCATTCCTAAGCAGAAAGGAATGATCAAGTAGATGCTGTTCATCAGTTTTACTGTTAGCATTATTTTATGCAAAACTTCTCACAGTATAAACTGTTAATATAGTCTATTCACCAAGTGATCAGGTTTGCCTGTGCCTAAGTATTATCTGGGGTGCTTGTTATAAAGGGGATTCCTGAGCCCCACGCCTAGAAATTTGGAGATTGTAAATCCTTATATCTGTACTCTGAGGCAGTAGAGATGAGAAAACTGAGTTCAGAGAGGTCACATAACTTGCCCATTATTTAGGTAGTAAGTAGCAGAGCCAGAAGCAGAATTACAGGATACCGAGTCAGCTGTCACATGAAACAGGTGATACTTACTGGATTTTTTTTTTTTTTTTTTTGGCTGCGTTGGGTCTTCGTTGCTGCGCTCGGGCTTTTTCTCTGGTTGCGGCGAGCGGGGGCTACTCTTCATTGTGGTGCACGGGCTTCTCATTGCAGTGGCTTCTCTTGTTGCGGAGCATGGGCTCTAGGCACGTGGGCTTCACTAGTTGTGGCACGTGAGCTCAGTAGTTGTGGCTCGCGGGCTCTAGAGCGCAGGCTCAGCAGCTGTGGCGCACGGGCCCAGTTGCTCCGCAGCATGTGGGATCCTCCCAGACCAGGGCTCGAACCCATGTCCCCTGCATTGGCAGGCGGACTCTCAACCACTGCACCACCAGGAAAGCCCCTACTCACTGGATTTTAATTTCCTTCCTTCCTGTTCTTCCTATCCCAACCCACTCTTTTATAACATGTACTCAAGCACTTGTGTGCACATACACACACACACACACTCTCTCTCTCTCTCTCTCTCTCTTGCTCTCTCGCTCTCTCGCTCTCTCGCTCTCTCTCTCTCTCTCTCTCTCTCTCTCTCGCTCTCTCTCTCTCTCTCCCCACATCTTCTTAATTGCAGAGGTTAGATGATTTAGAAGCTGCCCTATTTAAGACAAGTTCCTTAACCTTTCTGTACTTCAGTTTCTTCACTTAGCTTATAAGAGTAGTTCAACCTGATAAGACTGTTGAGAGGATTAAATGAGATAATGTACATAAAACCCTTTGCAGCTGTTTGCACAGAGTAAATATCCAATATATTTTTTATGCCCCAGGCTACAGTTCAGATGGGACAAAGCAAGAGTTCTAGAACCCTTTAGGTACAACCCTGTCTTCTTTCAGATAAGGGAAGGGAGAGGTAGAGATTTGTCCAAGGTCACACACACAGTTGGTAGCACAAACCAAGATCTCTGCCTTGACAGATTATTTCCTTTGCCCTTACTAATTTGTCTAAAGGGAGAGTTTTGGATGGTGTGAATTCAATCATTGAATGAAATTCAAGTCTGACCTTGTCTTTAAGCAGAAATGTAGTCACAAAGACATCTAATTGTCTTTGTAGTCACAAAAACATCTAACACTCATCTAAATGTAGTCACAGAGACATCTAACACTCAGCCTTGAATCCTGGTGTGGCTTGGGGAAGCCAAAGTAATGGGATTTTCTTTGGCAGAACCCAGGGGCTTTGCTTTTCACAATTAAATTTAAGGAGACGGGAAGATAAAGATCTTTGATCAACTGTAGCTCTATGAAAAAGAAGTGGAAAGGTACAGTGCTTTTCCTAAAAGAAACCTGAGAACCTTTTGACTTTTGTATAAAAGCACAGTACAAACGTCTTGGGGCTTATTTAGAGCCTTGTGCTGACCTGGCCATCAAGGGTTACACCACCCTAGGAAAAGAAGGCTCTGCTAGGCACCAACAGCCTGATCATGTTTTGATCAAACTTGGCCCCACCTTGTATTTGTGCATATTTGGCATCCCTGACTACATGTGGTAAGCCTGAATAGATAGATAGATATGGCTTTCTCCTGCAGTTTAGCTCTCCCCAAGAAAAGCTTCTTAGAAGGGCCTCCATTCCTTCAGAAATAACACAGTTCTACTGCCATCATTCCTTGTGAGACTCTGAGAGATGCAAACCTTGAAAGTTTTTCATTCTATTCTTTCCTCCCAGTTCTATCTGGAGAACCTCTATGGACAAACCGAGTGCTTCCTGCTATTCCAAGCCAGCGGGGACACAGCCCACCAGCTGAAGAGAGTGAAAACTCTGCCAGTTCCACCAATGATGAAAATTAATCAGTGACTGTGGGTCACTGATTGTAAAAATATAGATTATATATATTTTCAACTGTCAAAGGATAAGATCACTTTGTAAGAACAAAGACTAATTTAGTAAATTGCATTCTATAAGCCATTCATGGTTTTACAACTCAAAATTCTTTGTTCCAAATATGCACTTAGAATCTTTGTGCATATATTGTGAGTTTCCATGACCTCTACATGCCAAAATAAAAAGTCACAACCTGTTATCATCAGGGAAACTTAGCTGTGTTTGGTGGCATGTTTGCTGGTTTTTTTGAATGATTTTATGTTTTTAAAAAATGTATGCTTTGCTGAATAAAAAAGAAAGCACATTCCATACGTGTTTTTTACATTTATTGCAATTCTACTTTGGACTAACAAAACTTAATTAAAATCAAATTAGTAAATTTCTTTAATCAGTCAGTGTTTATGGCTTTTAAGTGTATCATCATCTGCAGAGTATTTTCTGACATCGTTAACTCCCAGCTAGAGCCCAAATCACTTAACAATGTTTATGTATCTTCTTTGTTATTTGATTATTTCCACCTATTGTCACTTTCAGATATGATTGATTGTTCTGATACTGAGAAGATCATGTGAGTTGGAAAGGTCTACATCCTGCCCTAACTGAATGAAATAGACATTCCTCATACATTCCTCAAATACTCTACATATTTAATCATTCTTTTTTCTGTTTCAAAATAAAGGTCTCTGCCTACTCAAGACCTTCCCATACTTATGACATAGCAAACTTTGAAAGACTACTACTAACTGCACATCTCCCTGCTAAGATGTTTGCATATTGTTTGGATTGAAAGTCCAAGGTTTAGCCATATAAGATCATAGTCACTCCATGTTATTTCCAAGCCTGCGTGGTATTCAGCAAATATCTCAAGTATAACATTCCCATTTTATGTTAGTATTATTTATTTAGGGAGGTCAGACTGTGCCATTTACTAAATAGAGCTCCTCTGAGGCCAAATGACAGTTATTTGGCTTTGCACTTCTAGGAATGTGTACAATACCTAGACCATGCTTAGCCACTCATTCAGCTAATTTTTTTTTTTAGGAAAGAAGGAAGGGAAGGAAGTAGGGAGATAGGGAGTTGGCAAGGTAGAGAGATGTAAGAAGTGATAATAGAAGAAGTTAGTAGTCCACAGTCTCATTTTGCTAATGATAGTTATCTGAATCGGGGATTATAAAAGGGAAAGCCTATGGATCAACCTCCCAAGCTAGACAGTAGCTAGAGGCAGAGCAAATCCTGGTGCAAATGGAAGAGCTCTCAGGACATAGATTCTGAAGGGTTTCTTTTCTTTTTTCTTTCTTTCTTTCTTCCTTTTTTTTTTTTTTTGTGGGCTATTTTTATCTTTGAAGAATCATTCTTTGTAAGTATCAGTTAGGCTGTTCAGCTGTGTCACCTAGCTACTTCTGAATCCATGTCCATCCACAAGTAGATACCTGGCCCTACACTACTTAGACTAGCTGGGATAGCTTAGCCTCTGCTTTAGTAATAAACCCCAAAATCTCATTGGCTAACACAATTTCTTTTCTCATTCACGATACATGTCCCATTTCCAACTGGCAGAGTTGGCTGATGTAGATTCCATTTCAACTTGTACTTCCTTCATCACCAAAATAGAGAAAACCAGAGGTGAGTCTCATTACTTCCTCTCACATTTTATTTGCCAAATTAAGTCATATGGGCATGCCTAACTTCAAAGGGGATAGAGAAATGCAGTCCTTCCGTTTGTGTCAGGAAAGGGGAGAATTAGAATATTTATGAATTATTCAAAAGATTACCACACTAACAAAAGCTCAGGCCCTAAGAGATCACCAAGTGTATAGCTAAGAGGTCAAAGCAATAAATCAAAACAAAACGAAACACCCCTGTATAAAACCCACTATTCCCCCAACACTTGCAGTTATATATACGCACACAGAATCTTCTAATGTTGGGCCTTTCCATCCAAGTTGATATAACAATCTTTGCTTAGCTACGAAAAAGTAATGTACTGCCCACTACCACCTCTTTAAATAGAGCAGCTATCCTTTTGTCTCCAGGTAAAGTTGCTTGTTTGGGGTGGAGTCTTCCTCGGCCAATATTTTACTAACCAAATCAGAGGTATTCACCAAGTTGTGCCCAACTTTAAAAAATTATCAAGCAACTTTTTCTTCTAAAATGATATTTTTTGTTGTTCTTTTACCACTTATATTTCCCTTCATTGCTAAGGATCATAACTTTGCATACATTATTTCATTTGGATCTTTACATCAACCTATATCCCCCAAGTACAGACAAGGAGCCAACGTAGAGAGTGATAAGTAATTTGCCCAATGCAACACAGCTAATGCAGGCATACCTTGGTGGTATTGCAGATCCAGCTCCAGACCACCACAATAAAGTGAATATTACTCTCATTTTTCCTAGTCTGTGGACCACTAGCAGCTGCAAGGTGATTTACCATTCACTGTTAATAAAATTTTTGCTAGGGATTTATTAACAAGACATTTCCTGTTTTTTACATATTAATGTGATAGCTACCTTTGTCCTTCTGGTGACAGCTATGCCAGACGAACATGCTGACTGGAAACTCTTCGGCTTTTGATACAATTTATTCATCGACTTCCCAGATTTGGCCTCTGGAGATGTCCTGGAACTCATTCAGCTGCCCAAAAGACCAAGGTTGGACTAAAACGGAGGTCAGAATGGGAAGGTATTCACTTTGAAGAACAGTAGTTTTGATAGCGACCTACAGTTTGTTGACAGTCTTCATCTACCGGTATTAATATTTCTATCTCAATGTCTGGGAAATATGTAGTTCTGATAGAATTTCCTGATTTTAAAATATCATTTTCCCCTGAAAGCAATAAGAATGTCTAGCTACTGCATGTGAGAGCTGCTATCATGTTCTTTTAATTTAGTTTTTGACTTGAGTGTTGTATTTCATGCTAAGGTTAAATATGTTCCTTCTTAATTACCCCATTTAAGCCCATGGTGGATTCCAAAGGGTTGTTTTCAAAAGACCACTTTTAAAATGCCAGGATACCCTTGCTTAGAGACATGCCTCAGTACACTCAAAGAGTAGGGGCAAAATCAAAATCAATGGTTATGTTTGTCTTTCTGGGAGGCACTATATTTCTAACCAGTCACTTGGCATGGGTTTCTAAAATCATATTGTGTGTCAAGCTGTGACCTAGTAGAGTTGGAAGGGATAATAAGCTGGAGTCACAGGAGTCTATTTATATCGGCTTAATTCTAGGAAGATGAGAGCCTTAGAGTTAAGTGTTTACCGGAAGAAATTACTGAAGGGAACTAAGGAAAATGAGGGGAAAAAACTGTACCTTCCAAAAGCTCTGGTTTAGCACAGATTACTGGGTTGGTGGGCTCTTCCTACAAATATTAACTGTAGCTCCACTTTGCCTGGATGGCAGATACTCTGAATAAATAAATCCAGAAAGGAGGCTATGCCAAAGGTATACCACGCCTATGAAATTTCTGGAGCAGGAGTACAGTTGTTGGGGAATTATGTGTGTGGACCATGGGACTAGAGAGACTTCGTTACTAAGCCCTGCTCTGCCATTTGTATTGGATTGAACCAAACACTAACTGTATTTGAAAGTATAACTTATTGAAGCTGCTGAGCTAGATGACAAGAGCAGTTTCGGAAAGTATGGAAGAAAAGAACAATAAACGGAAGGTGAAGCCAGTCAACATTATAGTTTACAGCTAGAAGGAAGCTATGAGAGGAGTTTTTGGAGATCTATATGATGAAACCAAGCAAGCCTTTGAATTCAAGGAAAGCTGAAAATCAAGGCACTGTTCTCGCATATCTAAGTAGTTTACTCTAAGATATCTATCCCAGTGTTCTCCGAACAAATGACTTGGGGCAAGGGGGAAGTGGGGGGCAAGGGGCATGTAATACAAAGAAAAAATGAATTGAAAACATTTAGGGTCTTTTCCCTCCCTTAAATCTCTAGTCCCTGAGAGCTAGCCCATTTAATCTCCATCATAGGGAGTTTAGCAATCACCATCTTCCCTTTGCCACATCCTGTCTTCACCTATGGATGAAGATGCAAGCTTCCATAAAGCCCTTTGTATGATTCTAATAAAGGCTTATAAAATGAATAAGATTTTGCTTTCATGGATGTGCTGGAGCTAGGTCTTACCTGCTTGCAAGATTTGATTATTGAATCTAATATTCAGGAGTTTTGTGAACATTGGTGGCTTGGCACTGGCCATGGTGGGAACATTTACACCATGAAAACTGGCAAACAGTACAAATCAGTGCTTTCTTTTATTTGAGATCTAGTTTACCAGCACACCAATTGGTGTAACATTTGGGAGGAAAGCTTTCAGGATTAAGAACACTTAAAAAAATTGTTTTCTGCAAAATGCTTTCTTGTTTCTGTTTGGTTCACAACTTGGGAGAGAGCTTCAGCGTGGTTTAAAAGCTGCCTACTGACTGCAGGGAAAGGCTCAGGCAGAAGCTTTGACACCAGAGGAATGACAAAGGGGCCCCTCCAGAAGAAGGCCACTGGGCTCCAGAGGCTCCTAGTTGTATTTGAGGGTGAGCCTTTCCAAGAGACACTCATCCAGCCCAACCTGAGGGCTGGCCAGCCTGTGAGGTTAGTCAGGTGGTTGTCCACCTTCTTGATGAGTTTCCCCTCCTCATCTAGGAATCGGCTCTCCAGGGAGTCAGAGAGATGGGAGCAGATCCAGAAGGGCCTCGTTCATGTTCTTCTCCAGGACCATGGCAGCTTCCACGGCATCTAGGGTTTTACTCATCTGGGGATGGCTTCTGCACCTCCTGGAAGAGGGTGCGGCTGTGGTGTTGGTTTTGCATCCTCAGGAGACACTTGGAGGCCTCAGCTTTTCCTCAGCCAACTCACAGAAGAAGTGGTCTCTAGAGCCACATAATTGCGGTCAAAATAGATGCCCAGAGAGAGGTAAGTGTAGGAGACCTGCAGATGCAGGTTGACCAGGCCATTGACGGCAGCCTCCAGCTCGGTGGAATAATTCTCACAGATCTGAGAACTCATGGTTGATTCACATGCAATAAGAAACTAAGCTCAAAAAACAGCATTGGTTGACCTTGGAGGCAGAGGATGGCTGGCCGGGAAGATGGTTCAGAAGGTTGTGACTGGAAAAGAGGTTGAAGGGTGGTCAGAGGCTGGAACAAGGCACATCCCAAACACTGCTGAAGCAGGAGGCAGGCTGCAGGGCTGCACGGTGCACTGCAGTAATATTTTTAAAAGATACCCCTTTGCTAACACTGATTCTGAGAAACAGAACTCATGCCTGTCTCAAGAGTAACCATGA